TGGAAGTCTGAACTGCGGGCCTGGCATGCCCATTTTTGCAAATTTTTTACTGTATCATCTGCAAAAACAATTAGTTTTAAGTGTCATTATGCTCATCTGGTGAATGTACAGGCTAAAGTCAGAACACGTTTTGCCATAATTGTTTTTAATTGTGTATTCACAAAAAAATGATCAATAATCCATGTGACTCATAAAACTTTTTATGAATATCCTTCAGAATGTACCTGTGATGTTCAATTGATAAAATGAGTGGGGCAGTCTTTTTATATTTTATGCAGTTGTTTATATTTTATCCTAACCTATCATTATCAATTATTAGTCAATGTCCATTTCATTAGTCAATATTTAAATTTAAGTCAATTTTTAAATATGTAGCTAACATGACAAACAAACAATGACCATTATGTCACTTTTTGAAAATCCAATTTTTCTACATGTTGTGACAGTATATCTTATTAAGCGGCGAGAATATTAGGTCCAATATACATACTTAGGTGACTTCCTGCTTTACTGTAAGAGGAAGACTGCAGGTGCCATTCCGTGCATTATTTCAGGCACAAATGGGCATATGAGTAGAACCACCGACATTACGTAAGTTAGCTGTATAGCTTTCTCTCATGCAAGAATCCAAAGTCTCTGTCAGGATTAAAACACATAGCTGTGAGGGGCAAGTAGGTTGAAGTCAATGAGTTCAACTACTCGGCCATAGACGCCTGTGTAAAATACTTAATGTATTTCAAATTCTATAATCCTGATGAAGACTCATAAAAGTCAACAAGAGCACTGCTAGGCGGAGCATTATATTATGCCCGAAAGTGTTTTTTTTTAGTAAGGATGAAGCATTTGTAAGACATGGGAATTCGCTGTTCATCCTATAAAATTTTACAGCTGTAGGTTGATTAATACTAAAGTTATTAATAATGACCTTAACCTTTGACCTTGTGACCCCACAATCAATAGGGGTATTCTACCTTATATGGACAATCATCTTAAGAAGTTTGAATATTGTGGGCCAATTGGAACTTTAATTATGCTCTAGAAACTGTTTTCAGTATAAGGTAATTGTGACCTTGACCTTTGACCTTGTGACCCCAAAATCAATAGGGGTCTTCTACCCAATATGGACAATCATCCTATGAAGTTTGAATATTGTGGGCCAAATGAAACTTACGTTATGCTCTGGAAACTGTTTTTGGTTTTAAGGTAATTGTGACCTTGACCTAATGACCCCAAAATTAATAGGGGTCTTTTGCCCAATATGGACAATCATCCTATGAAGTTTGAATATTGTGGGCCAAATGGAACTTAAGTTATGCTCCAGAAACTGTTTTCAGTTGTAAGGATATAGTGACCTTGACCCTTGACCTTTTGACCCCAAAATCAATAGGGGTCTTCTACCCAATATGGACAATCATCCTATGACGTTTGAACACTGTGGGCCAAATGGAACTTAAGTTATGCTCCGTAAACTGTTTCCAGTATCAAGGTAATAGTGACCTTGACCTTTGACCTTGTGACCCCAAAATCAATAGGGGTCTTCTACCCAATATGGACAATCATCCTATGAAGTTTCATATTGTGGGTCAATTGGAACTTAAGTTATGCTCCGGAAACTGTTTTCAGTATCAAGGTAATAGTGACCTTGACCTTTGACCTTGTGACCCCAAAATCAATAGGGGTCTTCTACCCAATATAGACAATCATCCTATTAAGTTTGAACATTGTGGGTCGAATGGAACTTAAGTTATGCTCCGGAAACTGTTTTCAGATTTAAGGTCATAGTGACCTTGACCTTTGACCTTTTGACCCCAAAATCAATAGGGGTCTTCTACCCACTATGGACAATCATCCTATGAAGTTTGAACATTGTGGGTCAATTGGAACTTAAGTTATGCTCCGGAAACTGTTTTCAGTATCAAGGTAATAGTGACCTTGACCTTTGACCTCAAAATCAATAGGGGTCTTATACCCAATATGGACAATCATCCTATGAAGTTTGAACATTGTGGGTCGAATGGAACTTAAGTTATGCTCCGGAAACTGTTTTCAGTTTTAAGGTCATAGTGACCTTGACCTTTGACCTTTTGACCCCAAAATCAATAGGGGTCTTCTACCCAATATGGATAATCATCCTATGAAGTTTGAACATTGTGGGCAAATGGAACTTAAGTTATGCTCCGGAAACCAAATTGCTAACGGACGGATGGACGAACGTATGTACGGAAGTTCTCACAGGACAGTAATTATGTGGCTACTCTATTGTTCTCTCTATTGTTCTTTTTAGCCACGCAAAAGAAAATAGCCACATAAAAGCATTACGGAATGAATGACATCAAAGAGAAAGAACAGTTAATACCTATTGTCCCTCTAGCCACATAATTACTCTCCTGTGAGTGCGGACGGACGGACGGACAGACAGACGGATGCCAGGGGGTATAACATAATATGCCCTTTTCGGGCATATAAAAAGTGAACATCAACCTTAAAACTTATCCAGTGTAGATTCTTCTTCTTGATTCACTATCTTTAGTACTAATGCATGTGTAAAACAGTTTTTTCATATTACAAAATATAACATAAGTATCAGTTTATGGATGGAATAAATGAATTACCTATATTTGTCTTACCTGAGACAGTTGGTGGTATGTCTGCAATGACAGGATTTAAAATTGAAACATTACTTTTATCAACAGCAGGCTTCAACTCTGGTACATTGCAGATTTCATTTTCAGTAGTGAATTGCATCAGCCGAGGTAACATTGAACAGGACAAAACATCTGTAGCAGAGGTATTTCTACTGTCTTCTTTAATACACTGCATGTCATCATCAAGACCATTGTCTTCCTGTAGGCTAGATGAAATTCCAGGTGATTGAGGTTCAATGTCTGCACCGTCATCATTTACAATTACAACATCAGGTACTGAATTTGTGGAAGCTGACTTAGACTCCACAGATGACACTGTATCTTTATCAGAAGGTTCAAAATTAAGAGATCCATCTTTTGGTTTATCAGAACTCTCTATGGCAATGGATGATACCAATCTTTCTTGCGCCATAACATTATCTGCAGGATGGTTGAATGAACTATCTAATGACCTAGTTTTGTCCTGTGAATTGAAAACAGAAGCACCTACTCCATAGTTTTGTCCAGTTGGAATACTTTGCTTGGATATGTCATTTCTATTGTCAAAACCATATCCAGAATTTTGCTCAGATACTGACACTGGTGTTGATTTATGGCCAAACTGAAAGTTAGGCATGCTGTTTGAAGATTGAGTAACACTTTGATTAGGTTCTTCCTTCTTTAATACAGCTGTAGGAGTTTTGTCATTAGATAATGTCAAACTAGAATCAATAGCAGGCTTGGTACTTGAAGCAGATGATGCTGACGTAATAAAACCAGAATCACATCTTGTCAAGCCGTTACTTTCTTTTGATTCAGAGTTAATTGAAAATGAGGTCTCATTCTGTCCAACAGACAGTATGGATGCCATACCTTTAAAGGAAGTTATGTCACAGCTTGATCTGCTGGTACCAGTGTTTTCTTGAGTTAAAGTCATTGAAATCAATGGCTGAGCTGGAAACTGGAATCCAGAAGGGCTGGTACTAGGTTCTTGCTTAAATATTGGCAATGACTGAGATTGCTTTGTTGTGGATTGGAATCCTGAGCTGTTGGTATCAGGCTTTGCTTTACCAGTTGACAATGATTGATATTGTTGAGCTGGTAACTGGAATCCAGAAGGGCTGGTACCAGGTTCTGGTTTAACAATTGGCCTGGGTTGAGACTGCTGTGCTGGGGATTGAATTCCTGTCCATCTGCTGGTACCCATATCTGGTTTAAACGCTGATACTTGCTTAGAGAGTTGAGCTGGGCACTGGAATCCTGAACTACTGGTACCTGGGTCTTGTTTCAGCATTGACAACTGGAATCCATAGCTGCTGGTATCAGATTCTGATTTATCAGTTGCCATTGGTTGAATTTGTTGAATTCCTGAACCGCTGATACCAGATTCTTGTTCAACTGTTACCATTGGTAGAAATTTTTCAGCTGTTAACTTATCTCCTGTCAATCTACTGGTTAATTGATCTGGATGAACTAATGACTCTGGTTTAGATTGTTCAGTTAGGTTGGAACCTATTCCTAGCTCTGGTTTAAAAGTTGAAAATTGTTCAGATGAATTAGCTAGGCAATGTAATTCGGCAGATGCTAAACTAGTGTCTGATTCAGTTGCTGTCAAAGAAATTGACTGTTGAGTTGAATTTCTAGAATTTCCAGATCCAACATTTTGTGCTGCTGTAGACAATGGTAATGATGATTGAGCTGGGAACAGGATTTCTACAGGTGCACTGTTTTTGTTTCCAGTTTCTGTAGACATGTCTGAAATGAAAAGGATTTTACATTGTCATTGTAATAGTATCAACAGTAGTTGGCTGTCATAGGAGCCAACATTTTCCCCTACAGTACTACCTCTATGATCCAGGATTCATCATATTTCTTAGGTGAACATCTCAGTCAAAAAAAGTCCTTCAATAAGTATAATACATGTATAACTTGCAGTGTAGACATAAAATTGTCTGATATTTGACTTTCATGTGTGACCTTGAGTAGGCACATTGGTGGCATGGGTTCTGTGTTAACTTTTAGTTTTGACACAAGTGACATTTAACCTTCAAGAGTGACAAGGACCTTGAGCTGGCACAAAAGCAGCATGGAATCTGCACATTACCTTGCTAAAGTGAACATTTGAGCAAAGTTTGAAGAAGATCCTGCAGAGTATAGAATTTATAATGCAGAAACGAAATTGTCTGACAATAACCTTCAAGATTGACCTAGAACGAGTATTGCACATTGACTTGAGAAGGTGAACATTTGAGTCAAGTTTGAAGGAACTCCTTCAAAGAGTATAGAATTTATAGAGCAGAAACAAAATCTGACATTGACCTACAAGGTTGACCTAGAATCAAGACAAGGGAATCAGGAGGTCATAATATGAGCAAAGCTTGAAGAAAATCCTTTAAAAGATATAGAATTTACAGAGCAGACATGATCTTGTCTGATATTTGGCCTTCAGGACTTTTGTTACTATGACTTCCTCACAATTTAGAAAATCTCTACAATATGACTTTGAATAAGTGACTTAGTGTTCATATGACTTCAATGCAACTTTTAATTTATCTAAATAAGAATAAGGATGAAAATAAAAATATTCTTATAAGTAGACATTATTGAAGTACATTTGTAAAGATTGTTTGTTTGGTTAATAGTAATTTTTGTTTGGTTGCGGGTCAACCTAACTGGGTTTCTTGTATAACTAACCAGTAATTACGCATTTTTTTGAAAGTGACCAACTACTAATACTTTAAGCTTTGTAAAGTTAATTTTGGCTAAATCATTTACTAAAATTTTACTACCTGTACTTGACTGCATTGATTGACAGGGCAGTACTGGCTTGAACTGACTGGTGTCCTATAAAAAGAAGTACAATATTCATTAGTTAAGTAGAAATATAGAATGTAGGACAAAACCCCACCAGTTAAAACCCCACCACTCAAAATTTTATAGAGTGGACAAAACCCCACCACTAAATTTTATAGAGTGGACAAAACCCCAACACTTAATTTTATAGAGTGGACAAAACCCCACCACTTCAGTTTTATAGAGTGGACAAAACTTTCTTGTAAACATGTTAAAAAACAAACAATTGTGCAGCAGATGAAACTCAAAAGAATGTGTGAACAACTCATCAATAAGGAGAAGACTGTACCCGAGTTTCTTCAGGCTATCAGCCACAGTATCCACTTAAACTAAGTACAATGAAGTACAATGAAGGAAAATTGTCTGAACTGAATAAATTAGAAATGTGCTATAAAAATGTGCTATTTTCTAATCATTAATGGATGAAAATGGGCTACATTCTTGATTAATAGTAAGTAGTTTATTTTTATATAAATAAATTGAAGACATGAATTTGAAGAAACTTAAAATAATGGATAATTCAAGGTCATAAATGTGGCACAGTCTCAAATAAATGACTACTCTTTGATGTTGATTTAACAGTTTGTAAATTATTTGTATAATCTCTTATACCAGTATTACACAAATGTTATATTGAAATTAAAAAATAAAATGTGAAAATGTGTACTGTATATTATATATATTTTAATTCATCAAATCTTGCCCAATAATTGGTAGGTGGTGGGGTTTTGTCCACTCTGTAAAATTTAGTGGTGGGGTTTTGTCCACTCTATAAAATTTAGTGGTGGGGTTTTGTCCACTCTATAACATTTTGAGTGGTGGGGTTTTAACTGGTGGGGTTTTGTCCGTCTTCCAGAAATATAACATATAATTTTTAAAAAGTATACATATTTCTATAAAATGTATTTTGTTTTCTCCAGAAGATGAAATTCATTTACTAGAAGATAACTTAAATCATGGTAAGACTTTTATATATTAACTAAACATGCAAATCCTGGAAATAAACATTTTACCTAACATATGCCATATAACATGTACAATCAAATATGTTGTGTAATGTGTCATATTTATATTATGCTATGTTATGTGATGTGAAAATGTCAAATGATAAGCCATGCAAAAGGCTGTGTAATATTTACTGTATAAGTGGTTAAGTTAGCGACACCGAAATATTGGCGAATTTGCAAATTGACAAAAATCGCCAAAATTTCCTCTAGCGTAAATATCAACCAACCTGTCACAAAATTCTACCTTTGCACAATTCGCTAATATTTCCTTAAACAAAAAGTCTGGAATTTTAAATTCGCAGTAACTTTTCGACATGCTGAAATATCCAATTATACAGTAATATTGAATGCTGTGTGATATGTCAATTGATGTACGTGTATACATACCATATAATAATCTGTGTTATATGCCCTATAATAAAATATGTTGTGTAATATGTATTATAACATGCCATGTAGTAGAGTGTGTAATGTGACATTTAATATCCAATGCATTAAGTTGTGTAGCATGAATTACAACAATATTATAATATACTATACTGTTAATGTAATATACTATATATGCAATACAGAATATCATCAGTTATAAAGTAAAAGACATTGAAAAGGTCAAAATGCCTAGTAAGCTTATATGACCAAAGCAGTAAGGCTATATCAAATGTCAAATGTCTAAAAAATTATAAAACTGCATGCATGACTCCTTTCCTTTGAGAAAAAGAAATAAAAAAATCTTTAAAGCTGCAGGAGTCATGTTTAAGGATATTATAAATGTTGGGTTTGTTCACTGAAAAATTGACATTCAAACATGCAGTATTATAAGAAATGTTATACTGCAAAATCATAATTTTTCGCAGGACACATTTTCGTGGTCTTCATGGGTAAATCAATTTACGAGTCTAAAATCCATGGAAGTTTTATTTCGACTGCTGTAGGATTATTTTGCATTACATAATTTTAAATCCTTTCACACTAACAGACAATCCACGAATTTAAGAACCCAGAAAAATGTCCTTTGTGACAAAACCACAAAATTTCGTGCCCACAAAATTAAGTGAATTCACAGTAACTACACAAGGCTTACATCTAAGCTAGTAGATGGTAGTACATCAGCTGATTCTGTTCTTGTATCATCTGAAGCAGCCTCTTTATTTTTCTTATGTGAAAAAGGTGGAACGAAGTATTTCAACTTCGGAGCTTTGGGACCAAATTGGAGATCTGGGATGATTGTCTAAAAAACATGTTACATGAGAGAAAAGTGTGTTACAGGATTCTATGAAAATATTTTACAAGTTTGTATTTAAAATATATTATAAGAGCATAATTATTGTAAATACCAAAAGTAAACCAACTGTTGTTAGGGTATTCAAACTTGAAAGGAAATAATTTTATGAACATCTTCAATACAACAAAAATGATCCTCATTTTATACAAATTAAAGGATGTTTTTCAGATAAGGATTCAAATATTCAATTCAAATGTCAATTAAAATATTTGCTACCTTGATTTAAATCAAGTGAATAAGGATTGAATATTTTGAAACAATATATACAAAAATATGCAACCATTGCAGAATTACCAAAAAGCAATAGAAGCAAAGACAGTTCAGGTAAGTGGCCAATGTGTAATTTTTGCACCTATAACTGAAAGCTTTCAATTTGAGAAATGAAAATTAAGCACTTCTTGGACACAATGGGCCTTTTTAAATTCTTAAGATTTCATTATTTCTGAAAACACATTATCTAAGAGTTTGTTATTTTGTATTATTTTCTATTATACAAGTTTTAATCTTATATGATAAATGCTTACAAAAAGTGGTTTGTGATCTCTGTTTAGTGCATGTAGAATTCTTCTTGATTCTAGATCTGTCAACACCTCTCTTGCTCTTGCCTGACTTGGTCTTTCTTGTATGTGCAACTTTTCCACAATATCCTGTACATAATTACATAATATATATATCGTAACTTTTCCTCTACAATAATACAATAGATTGTTTACAGTAACCTTTAAACACTTCAATAATTTTTATCATATGCCTTTGATAATAAATTAATCATTTTCCATTGAAGATATATTTAAATCTGATTCCATATTCACATTTGTAACCATAGCACATTCACACAAAATTCGCTATTTATCTTAACCCATTACGTCATATACACGCCTTTTAACGCCTTTTTCCCCCCCCCCCCCCCCTTTGTTGTCTCAAACAGTGAAAAATTACCTTATTTAGGGCCCAAACACTGTTTTTCGTTTGGAAGTGTTCCTAAAAAAGAGATCACTTTTTCGGCGTCGCCCCCTATCAAAAAGGTACATCATGGGGTTCCCAGAAGGGGGATGTGCCCTATTCCGTTTGGGGGGTTTAAAGGGGGTAGTCATCGCCAAGAAAATTTTGGACTTGTGAGAGGCTATAAATGACCCCAGATTGATCATAAGGTAACGTGTAACCAGCGCTGAAAAGCATTTGACTCTATCTCAATCCACTGAGAAGTTGCAGCACTTTGAAATCAATTATGATGGAAAAAATCAACGCAAAATAGTGATTTTTGGCAATTTTAAGATGTCCCCCCGTTGCCATGGTAACAGAATATTTAAGCCTGAGCATGTTGTTGCAAGGGCGATGGTCCAGTCAACATTTGTGCTAAGTTTTATTAGTGTTGAAGCAGTTTTTATAGTATTATATAGCAATTTGAACTTGTAACGGGAGACTTTTCAATGAAAACAGCCATTTTTCACAAAATGCTCATGAAGTAATGGGTTAAAGGGACTCAACAAAGGTTTTTTTTGACATGAGGGAATTATTTTTCAAGATCCATTTGATGTATGTCTAGACCAGTGTGAAAATTTTCAATCATTTGCTTACTCTGCTTTTTCAAAAATATTATTATTATTATATTATTATTGCTCTAATTTTGAAAAATGTTTCAAAACTGAAAAATGTTGCAATGCTTTTTGACTCAAACTGGGCTAAGAATTTGAAGCACAAAAGTATGATTTTTTTTATATACAGTTAAACTTTGTTCGCTCGAACTCGGACCGCTCGAATACCTTCCTTCGCTCGAACTCATTGCCCAGTCCCGGCAAAATTCCTATATAATATATATTGTTCTACCTCGGATCGCTCGAACTCTCGAACCTGATCTCTGGTCACTTCGGCAGAAATATAGTGAAAATCACACCTATTCGGTCAAACACAAAAAGACAAGACGGTATGTCCTAAATAAATGACAGACGGCGACACATGTTTTAACACCTCGTGATCGTGACAAAGGTAATTAAGGTTAATTGATACAAAATAAGAGGTGTTGTAACCGATTTATTTGTTATGATAATATTGTTGATTAGCCATTTATGGTAACGATAAAAAGAAAATAACTTGTGAAATATGCATACCAATAAAGAATGACGTTTACCCGGACGGCTTCAATTACAACCGTGGTTCAACAACAACAACAACACATCTTTTATTCACTCAAACATGCATACAACATGTAATATGAGGATAATGTCAAAATATTTAACGAAGCATTTATACAAATTGAGATCAGAATATAATTACTAAACAATATCAACATATCTATTACATATTATTAAATTGTATGCATATTTTGCTTAGGAAACAATTTTTTTTTTTTTTTTTTTTTAACTTATTAAGAAAATGAAAACTTAAAATACTGCTTGAACAGAATGTAAGATATTTATTACTAGGAGAATGTAGCTATAAATGTGATATAATTTGTCATAAAAGTTGTAAAATAAATAAAGTAATATTTTAACTTCCATACAAAATGCTTATTTACTATACTTGTATTTATTTCTAAAAAGCAAATTTAATTTAAATTAAATATGTAATTATTTAAGCGCCTATTACATGTCAATTACTCACTTAGGAGAAGAATTTCATAAGACATGTTGTCTTTCATTCTAATCCTGTTTTTTAAGAATATTTGAATTGCATCTGTATATTGTGAATTATAACATGTATATATATTCTGAGAAATAAAATATGTTTAAACTAAACTAAAAAGCAAATTTTGAAATGAAAGATGATTCATGAAATAAACCAGTGATTATTCTTTTAATACTATAAAAGAACAGCAAAAACTTATTCTTATGAGAAATAAAAAAAAAAGTATATGTGAGGTATAAAGGACCTTTGCTGTATAGTAAGAAAGTGGTAAGTGAATATCATTAAAACAAAACTATATCTCAGAACATTACAAAATAACAACTGACTTTAAAATGAAAACATAAATATTTGATTACATTCTTACATTTCTTATAATAATCATTAAGTATTTGCATAGTTTATAAAATGCAGGCGAATCTTTCATTGTAAAAAGTTGTTCTAATTTATACATATTAGGACGTCTATAAAAATATGGTTTTATAAATTAATTGTCTTCTTTCATTAGAATTACATTCGAAAAGATAATGAAACTCATCACCGATTATATTTCTACAAAAAATGCACATTCTTTCATTGACAGGTATATTTGACCAATTTCCAGTTTCAACTGGTAATCTATGGTTTCTTGTTCTGAATTTGACATAATTAAAAATCATTGCATTTTGGGAGTACGAAAGATAAGGTTCTATTCCAAAAGATTTTTTAAAAATTTTGTAAAAAGAACTATTGCTCGATTCATTTATCTTTGAATACCATTCATTTAAGAAAAGATCTTTTAGCTTTTGTTTTACTGTTAATTTTAACCATTTGGTACCGGGAAAATTATGATCAATCCAAACATTGTTGATTCCGCATTTTATTAGTATTGATTTTAAATTATAAATCCACGGATAATTACGTTCAAAATCATTATCATTAATATCTACTGTATTTCTTAGCATATGACGATATACAAAGTATGATAATTTATTTGGTATTAAACCATTTTCGTTCTGAAGGAGACGCGCCCAAAATGAAGCTATTCTTTCTCCGATATCTACAGACAATGGCATGCATCCCGTTTCACCGTATATGAAATAACTGGCCGTCGAACGTTTAAGTTTAAGGATATGTTTTAAAAATTTGAGTTGTACGCGTTCAATAACGTCAAGATTACCGTATCCCCAGATTTCAGAAAAATAAAGTAATATTGGTTTAACAGTTTTATTAAAAAGTTCAATTTGTAAGTCAATTGGTAAATTTAATCTATTTGAATTTCTTATCAGGCTGTACATCGATCTTGTAGCTTGTTCTGCAATATGTGTCTTAGTTTTAGCGAAAGAACCACTTCTATTAAAAAATATGCCGAGGTATTTATATTCATTTACTATTTCGATTTGTTCATTTTTATAAGTGAAATGATAATTTCTTTGTCTCCCTTTTGAAAATACAACTATCTTGGTTTTAGAAATATTGACTGTAAGTTTCCAAATATCGCAATATCTTTCATATGTATTAAGCGCTTCTTTTAAGTCATTTGCTGTCTCGGCCATAATAACAGTGTCATCTGCATATAACAGAATAAAGATTTGTAAAAAATTATATAGCTCATGTAAAGTGAATCGTAACATTGTTATCTATTTATAGAATGACACTAACTTGTATGTGTGTTTATTTTAGTGAAAGACTACAAATAGATGCTGCTGTAAATGTTTTTAATAAATATTTCATTAATTTATTTTTTTTAATTAAATTCATCCCATTTATAAACATATAAATATATTTTGAACATTGTTCAACAAGTTTGGTGTGATTGCCCAATCGAACTCAACCAATTACAATATGCATGAATATAGATTAACACAGCTTATCGTTAATACTTAAATAAACACTGGGATAATAATTCTGAATATGAAATATTCGACGAACAGATGTACTTACAATCAATTATATTGACGCATTTATCATTCGACCGATGTAAGCTAGGAAAACCTTTAGGCATATGATCAATGTAATAATAGTTCAACCTCGGTTGGCTCGAACCACAGATACTTGGGGTTTGGAGCTCAAAACGCCTTTAAAATCCAAATAAAATGCATATTTGTCAATCCCAGGACATGTACTGATCATATATATCAAAAAATCTTAATATATGCCGTTTTGAAAAAAAATCATATTTCAACAACTAGATGTTGAAATATGATTTTTTTTCAAAACGGCTTATATTAAGTTTTTTTGATATATATGATCAGTACATGTGCTGGGATTGACAAATATGCATTTTATTTGGATTTTAAAGGCGTTTTGAGCTCCAAACCCCAAGTGTCTGTGGCTCGAACTACCGATCTCTCGAACAAATTTGCACAGGCCCTCCGAGTTCGAGCGAACGAAGTTCGACTGTATTTCCGAGTATTTTAGTTATTCATTTTATATGTCTTTCTGTTTTATTAGTGCCCAAGTTGATCTTACTAAGAAATTCAAATTTTATGGGTTTTTTTCAGACTTTTAGATTTCAGTGGAGTTCCCTTAGGCACATTATGCCTAAAAAATAAATAGTTATTTCTTTCTTTAGAAAAAGCAAACATGTGCTTAATATTGTTGTTGTAATAGATATAGAAAATGTGAGATGTTAATCCCTAGTGCTGATAGTGTATCAGTTTGTGATAAAGGTAGCAAAATGTTACCAAAGCTGTCATTTGACTTTCATACAAATACTAATAAATCATTATAACTGTACTAATTTCATAAATATCTTACCTCTTGCAAGGAAAATAACTCTTGTGAAACATTGCTGGTGTACATATCAGTGAGGTGGATTCTAGTCATTTCCTTCATCGCTGCTCTATCACACTTGACTTCATACATCAAAATATAAAAGAAATGTACAAGTTATGTTACAGATAAACCTCTGAATAAAGGTCATCATGGGAGAGACTGAACATAGCCCTTACTGACAGGATAGCTTTATTTAGAATTTACAATGTACAATGTTATTTTTGATCAATTAGGGGCTGTTGAACAATGGCCAATCTATATTCACAGGTGGTCCTTAACGCATGTTTAACTGTAATTTAAAGTGCTATAAAGTATCAAATACATTTGTTATTTCTCTCCTGTATATTTTGTTAGAAGTCATTATTATGTATATGATGTAAATACAACAACAGGTAGCCTACTAAACGAGCTGTGGCAAAACTAGAACAGCCATAAAATCTACAAAAAACTTTACACAGACTTTAAGGTTATTCTGAAATTTTCGTACCTGAATTTCTGAGCTTAAATGAAACTATAAAGACCCAACCGCTTAACGCAATTCAGGTAAAGCATTGGATTAGAAATCTAGTATGACAACTGACCTTGTACATTGAGACAAATGATCATTTGCCTTTCACAGCTAATTCAGAAACCATGTGGGATTAGGAGTCAACCACTTGTTATTACAGGTTAAGTTATCTAGGAAAGGTAAATGAGCTGTGTCATGACAAAACCAACATAATGGGTTTGCGACCAGCATGGATCCAGACCAGCCTGCGCATCCGTGCAGTCTGATCAGGATCCATGCTGTTCGCTAACAAACCCTATAACAAGTAGAGAAACTGATAGCGAACAGCATGGATCCTGATCAGACTGCGTGGATGCGCAGGCTGGTCTGGATCCATGCTGGTCGCAAACCCACTATGTTGGTTTTGTCGTGACGCGGCTCAAATGATTATGATCTATGATCAATTATCTGTTTAATTCAGTGAAAAGCCAGAAACAAACAATCTATAAAAGGAGTTCAAAGTCCAAATTCATTAAACAAAGAAAGGACCTGATATTTTTGAATATTACCTTGGTGATTTGGTAAAGTAAGTGGACTTTTTTGCTTTAAATTCGGAACTATCCTTTGTTAAGTTAAAGGATAGTTGTATTATGCTTTCACCAGTACTGAAAGTGTTGGATGAACATATTCTATATTAATTATAGGTGTGTCAATTTTGCAACATGTATTCAAAGTGTTAAAATAAAATGGAGGCCTATAAAAAAAGTCCCACCTCCCTATTTTCTTTTTAACCCATAATATGCTAATTTCTTAAATGTACATTTCCATCTTCAATTCTTTTAAACTGTCGATTATTGCTTTTGGAAATATCAACATAACAAGAGGGCCATGATGGCCCTGAGGTCGCTCACCTGTATATAGGCCCCCCCGGAGCGAGGCAAGTTTAAACCCAAGGGCTTTTATATGAACAAACTTGGAAGACACCCATTAGAAGATGTTTCATGATGCTAAGTTTTTTTATACATATATAATGAAAAAAAATGACCTCCACCACCCCCCCCCCCCCGGCAGGGCTAATTTTAACCCAAGGGCTTTTATTTGAACAAACTTGGTAGACACCTATAAGAAGATGTTTCATGCTTAACATCTAAGCTCTAGCTCATTGGGTTTTTAAAAGAAGATTTTTTAAGTTTTTACTATACACATATAGTTAAAAACAATGACACCCCTGGGGCGGGGCCAGTTTTGACCCCAGGGCTTTTATTTGAACAAACTTTGTAGACACTTAGTAGAAATGTTTCATGCTTAATATCTAAACAGTAGCTATTTGGGTTTTTTCAAAGAAGATTTTTAAGTTATTGCTATACACATATAAGGAAAATCAATGACCCCCGGGGCGGGGCCAATTTTGACCCCAGGGCTTTTATTTGAACAAACTTGGTAGACACCCATTAGAACATGTTTCTTGCTAAATATCTTAGCTCTAAGTCTTTGAGTTCTTTAAAAGAAGATTTTTTTAAGTTTTTACTATATGCATATAGGGAAAATCAATGACCCCCTGGGGCGGGGCCAATTTTGACCCCAGGGCTTTTATTTGAACAAACTTGGTAGACACTCATGAGAAGATGTTTCATGCTAAATATCTTAGCTCTAGCTCTTTGGGTTCTTTAAAAGAAGATTTTTTAAGTTTTTACTATATGCATATAGGGAAAATCAATGACCCCCTGGGGCGGGGCCAATTTTGACCCCAGGGCTTTTATTTGAACAAACTTGGTAGACACTCATTAGAACATGTTTCATGCTAAATATCTTAGCTCTAGCTCTTTGGGTTCTTTAAAAGAAGATTTTTTAAGTTTTTACTATATGCATATAGGGAAAATCAATGACCCCCTGGGGCGGGGCCAATTTTGACCCCAGGGCATTTTTTTTTTTTTAACAAACTTGGTAGACACTCACTAGAAGATGTTATATGCCAAATATCTAAGCTCTAGCTCTTTGGGTTTTTTAAAAGAAGATATTTAAAGTTTTTTCTTTCGGTTGCCATGGCAACCAGAGTTCTGCATGGAATTAAATTCTTTGAACAATTTTTAAAGGTGACCACCAAAGAAACATTCCTGTGAAGTTTGGATGAAATTGGCTTGGTGGTTTATGAGGAGATGTCATTTAAAGTAAAAGTTTACGGACGGACGGACGACGGAAGGACGCCGGACGAAAAGCAATCACAAAAGCTCACCCTGTCACTTTGTGACAGGTGAGCTAAAAAGTCAGTGTTAGTTTGCCAACAGTAAACAGCCCGGTAAAACTATAAGAACGTTCAGGCTGGCCTGGGTCTAAACTAAGTGATAAATGCTTATCACATGACTTTGGTTCCAGCAAGATACTGGTTAACAGTCTGTATAAGGGGAGTGGTGGCCTAACGGTAAAGGTGTTTGCCTCTCAACCCAGGGATCATGGGGTCAAGCCAGCAATCTGGTCATGACTATGTTTCTTCATATCGACATCAGTACTGGTCCCAGGAAGTGGATTCAAAAGTGATTAATATAAGTTGCAAGACCTTGTTTCAAAATTGAGGTTAAATAAATATGTTTAAACCAGTCTTAATATGATATTAAAATTAAAACAGACTTACATTTCTGCCTTCCTGTTGTTTTCTGCCTCTTCCAATAACATATATTTTCTTTATCAATTTCAATCTTTCTTTTTAACTCACTTGACATTTTACCACTCATCTGCTGTTGCCTAGTAACACACACTCTGCTACTGGCCTCCGGATTAAAATCACAGGTCCTATATTGTTGTTCTGAAAAGGTAAGAATCAGTGAAAAACTAGAAATGTGTCATCATGCCACGGATGCCCCCGCATGCAGCCAAAATTTCAGATGTTATAATATTTAGTTCCAAATTTGTTTGCACAAATTATTTTTTTAATTTTAAGTTCAAAGCCCTTAAAACTGTTCAATGTTAACACAAACCATTTTCATACAATGTTCAAGGCACTGAAATTATTCAGTCTTAACCTTTTGAAAAAAGCATATTTCATATTTGTAGCCAAAATAATGGCTACATACATTTCCACAAAAGTATGAGTGCTGAAACTGAAAGTTCAAAATTTTTCCAACATTCAAGAAAGATAAGTTTGTCCAAAATCATTGAACCACGACCAAATTCAAACTTAAACTGCTGTTCCTAAGATGTATCTATATTATTTTCAAAGTGAAAGGGACATAACTCTGCCTAAAATCATCGAACCATGACCAAATTTAAACTTGACCTGCGCCTTCCTTTGACATATTCATATGTCAAATTTGAGTTTAATATGTAACACTGTTGGGTAGATAATGAACAGAAACTGTAAATTTCATATTATTTTCAAAGTGAAAGGGGCATTACTCTGCCAAAAATCATTGAACCATGACCAAATTCAAACTTGGCCTGCGCATTCCAAAAACATATCCATATGTCAAATTTGAGTTGAATGTGTTGTACCGTTGGGGAGATAATAAACAGAAACTGAAAATTTCATATTATTTTCAAAGTGAAAGGGGCATAACTCTGCCAAAAATCATCGAACCATGACCAAATTCGAACTTGACCTGTATTTTTTCATGATATATCTATATGTCAAATTTGAGTTGAATGTGTTGTACCGTTGGGGAGATAATAAACAGAAACTGAAAATTTCATATTATTTTCAAAGTGAAAGGGGCATAACTCTGCCAAAAATCATCGAACCATGACCAAATTCGAACTTGACCTGTATTTTTTCATGATATATCTATATGTCAAATTTGAGTTGAATGTGTTGTACCGTTGGGGAGATAATGAACGGAAACTGAAAATTTCATATTATTTCAAAGTGAAAGGGGCATAACTCTGCCAAAAATCATCGAACCATGACCAAATTCGAACTTGACCTGTATTTTTTCATGACATATCCATATGTCAAGTTTGAGTTGAATGTGTTGTACCGTTGGGGAGATAATGAACGGAAACTGCAAAATTTATCAAGGGGCATAACTCTCTAAATATCATCGGACCATGACCAAAGTCGAACTTGACCTGTTTTTCTCATGTTATATATATATTAATCTTGTTAAATTTGAGTTGAATGTGTGCATCTGATACTAAGATAATGAACGGAAACTGATGATGACGGAATGACAGAATGACGGAAGGACGGAATGACGGAAGGACGGAAGGACGGAATGACGGAAGGACGGAACAGGGTAACACTATATGCCCCGGCCATTACATGGCGGGGGCATAAAAAAGATATTTGTCTATTTTGTGATCATAATTTCTGCAAGCCTCTAGAGGTACTTCTTCAACAGAGTTAAATCCTAATTGTTGTGACTATGATAACAAACCTACCTGTACAGGAGTGATTTGTGACCTCCTCATGATGCAGCAGTGACCTCAAATGACCTTGACTCTGACCTTTATCGTCACTTATTGTATTAATATCATCAGGTGACTCTGACTTTTCATCTTGAATAAGTAATATTTCACTTCTTCTCAGCTGGTCTTCTGTTTGATTAACTACAGCTTGCATTCCACTCTGAAATGATATTTTTTTTAAATTATGTAAGAAATTGTTCCATGTAATATGAGTGAAATGATAGACATAATGGACTCTGAATAATTTACAAAGAAGAGCTGCAAGTTGGAGGGTGAATCAAATTGAAATTGTTTCAATAACTAACTAACATATTAATTAACATGTAGCTAGAAATGTATCCAAGGGATACCAATACCCCCACATGCCACAGTTTTGTCACAAAAATATATCTGGACCATATCTCATGTCAAAATATGATAATTTTTACTAAATCAGTGGCCGTAACTAACGACACAAGTCAAAATATTTCACTGTTTTGCGGCAACTTACAATGCTGTTCACACAACCCTGGCTAAAATTGATGCTTAAACTGTTCATTTTCAATTTAACTCCAAATATATTTCTTTATATATTTGCAGATTTTCCATTTTCAATGTTTCACTTAATCTATGCAAGAATTTCAAATTTGATGTTCAGGGCTTTTTAACCATAGTGAAGCTCCTTTAAGAAAAACTTCATATCCGAAATGAACCTGAAGAATTGCGTAATTGTGGTGGAGCTTACCTCAGAACAACAGGTTTCTGGTTGAGTCTCTATATTGGAGGATATATGGAGGCGAGTCAGAAAGTCTGACAACCAGGAAGGTGTGAGTATGTCAAGCATGGATTCCTTCATTGTTGAAAACAGCATCTAAAATAATGAAAGCATTACCCAAATACATTAATAGTTTCATTTGTGAAAACTTTTTTTTTATAAAATGAGAGTAAACATTTTGATACTGATTCCATGTATGAACGTTTGGACAGTCTTTTTGGGATTTCTTAAGTAATAAGAACATGTTAATGTGTTGATTTAAAGATCTGATTCATCAGAACAGAAACACGAGCAAAGTTTATATAGAACTATATTGATCATATAATGTAAAGCACCAACTGTGCTTCAGTTAGGAAAAGCCTAACATATTGTAAGTCCAACTGAATGTACTATGCAATGAGTTATAGTGCTATGTTGTGTATGGGCAATATCTCCCCTCTAGAAGGGAGATTCTGACCAAGAAAAAAAATATATCAGAATCAGCTTTGGCACATCTATATAATTATTTTGACTTAACAAATTGTGCGCCAGAGCTTTTTTATTTTTTAAACGATGGTGTAACCCTTGTAGAGACTGATATCGTATAACGTAAGATCAGATTGTAAAATCAGTCAGACTCGCAGTCAAAATATTGAGACTAAACTAGGAACAGTTACAATGTACATGTATATACATGAATATGTATTGATCTATTCAATTTGTATTTACAAAAAAAAAAATTTAAAAAAATAAAAAATAATAATAAAAACTTCCAATATAAAAGCAAAGCAAAAACATATTTAGCTTGCATATGCATACAAAAACTTACCTGGACACTGTTGACACAGTTCCAAATTGTTGACCCTGATACAGCAGCATCCAGCATTTTGTCTCTTTCATGTCTTTGATTTTGATATTGTCGCCCCCTAGAATACGGATGACACCTGGTCCTCTCCATTACTTTCAGCTAAAAGTTAGTGTGTCATCTCTATTAACCATCAAGCGGCGGATTCAAGCCATTTGTTTCACTTTTCTTTTCACTTACAATTTATCACATTTGTATTTCATGTTCTATCTTGTACAGTTAAATTTTGGGCATTGTCATTTTTTGAAAACAACTCCACGGAAAATTTAACTTTTTTTTTCTTCTATATTTGCAAATATTTGGGAAAAAATACATGATAAATAAGAGGTGTTTAGATGAGTTAATAAACTATCATATTTGTTACTTCATGACATCTGAGTTATTAGCTGCAATTAACTGATAAACTTTAGTGAAATTCTGAAAAGAAAGCGAAAGTAGAAATTATCGGAATTATTCGGATGGATATTTCCCATCTTTCACGGTACAAAATCCGTACTACGGCGTTAATATACCGTAGTCGGTATCGATAAGAAAGTAGTGAACTCAACGCATCAAGTTCTATACATAGTGGTCGGCGAAAAGGAGAAATTATCTAAAAATTTAATATAAACGTTAACATAAAGAATATCTGAAAAATTTGAAGACTGGCACCTGACCATGACCATCTATCTAGACAGAAACATCCAACCATATCCCCATATTATACTTTATCCAGCGTAGGGTCGCGAATGGCAGTTAATTTGTCTTATCATACAGGAAATTGTTTGCTAGGCCTACATTGTATATATTGATCTGAAAATGTAAAACACGTATAAAATTGTTCAAATTTGCAACTTTAATGTAATTGATAACTTTGCTAACTGAACCTCCTTTTGTGTTCTTCATTTTGATCACTTTCAATTTCCAGACAAACTATATCTAAACATGTTAACACGGCTATCCCCGTGTTTGTTCATTGGACGAATTTATATGTAGTAGAGCAAAATAATTCAATTTTAAGAGGCCTTTTGGTAATGAAAACTGATGGCTGAAGTGATTACAGATTTGAAACCTATGTGAATACAAATGGCTGAAAATATCAAAGGGCAATAACTGAAAAATAATGCAAGGTAGGTTATCATTCTTGTGTGCTGCACTCCTCCTCAATGAGATCTACAATCGCAACTACTCGGCCCTTTCCGTCAGTCTTCGGATAAGGACCTCCAGCAGAATAGTATGAATACACGTAACGGATGCGGTACGTATTTCGGTGTAACCTACGCTAAGAAACAAATAGTATTTTTATGCTGGGAGTAGCTGACAAGTTTATTATCAATATATCAAGTAAAAGTCCACCAAATGTAAGTGAATTCATAGATACAAAAGCAAACAATACATTATTTATATATTTATTAATAGGGTTGTAGAAACCGAAAGTACGAAATGACATCAAGTAGGATTTGATTAAAATTTATTATTTAGTATTTTTATGCTGGGAGTAGCTGACAAGTTTATTATCAATATATCAAGTAAAAGTCCACCAAATGTAAGCTAGTGAATTCATAGATACAAAAGCAAACAATACATTATTTATATATTTATTAATAGGGTTGTAGAAACCGAAAGTACGAAATGACATCAAGTAGGATTTGATTAAAATTATTCATCAGCTGGGCATTTTTTGAATTAAAAAGTGTTGTCAGACATATTTTCAATCATAATTGTACTTTATTTTTACTTGATTTTCCTTCGGATGTCAATATATACATTCGTTTTACATTACACACACTGTTTCTGTTTTAGAAGTATTAGAACTACTTTCAATCCGTATTGTTTCCGAGGTTATTATAGATATAATAGCCGAGGCAGTTCCGAATGTGAGATCTATCTACCTATGAAGTTTTAAGTTGATACATATACAATGCCGCTTTCAGTGGAATTGCACTGGCGTGTCACATATACATTTTTATTTATATTCATATTAATTTTTTCAATTTCATGTTAACTGTTGAATACTGCTTAAGTCGGTGCTGGGGGGGGGGGGCGGTAGCTTGCAATTACCTCTACTGTCCATGAAAAAGCTCAATCAAACTGAGCCTGCAACATTTTCAATTTTGCCGTGTTGGGCTTTCTTAAGATATTCTGTTTTTCTCTTCTTTTTTTTTGGAAATGTTTATTGCATGCTTCAATGAACGTTGGATGATATAGGCATTTAACGGTTAATCCAAATATTGACCATGATTCTATAATTGATCCTTTTATTCTTGTGTTTGTGTTCTGGATTTTATCCCAAAAATAGGGTTGTTTATTTGAAAATAAGTGTTTTGGCCTGGTTGCACAGGTGCACACCCGGGTAATAATATGATGAATGTATTAAGTATACAGCATGAACATGGGGTCTTATAAAGTGGGATTCGATTTCAAGTCAGTCGCTCATCCACCGTCATCCGTCCGTCTGTGCTATTTAAGAGAAATGGGGGCCATGTAACTGAAAACAGAACAAAAGAGAACTTTATAGTTTTCTGTAACAATAGATTAAGGGGCCATGGCCCTTTATTAAACAAAAGAAAATCAAAACAAAATAAATGGCCTCTTAATACATCTAAATGGCATGTCCATCTTTCCGTCCGTCCATAAACTTTTACTTTAAACGACATCTCATAAATAACTAAACAAATTTCATCCAAACTTCCCAGGAATGTTTCTTTGGTGGTCACCTTTAAAAATGTTCAAAGAATTTGATTCCATGCCGAACTCTTGTTGCCATGGCAACCGAAAGAACAAACTTAAAAAATCTTTTTTCAAAAAAATCCAAATAGCTAGGGCTTTGAAATAAAGCATAAAATATCATCTAGTGAGTGTCTACCAAGTTTGTTCAAATTAAAGCCCATGGGGTCAAAATTAGCCCCACCCCAGGGTTCATTAAATTTCCTAATATATATATAGGAAAAACTTTAAAAACTTCTTTTAAAAAAAAACAAGGAGATAGAGCTTAGACATTAAGCATGAAACATTTACTAAAGGGTTTCTACCAATTTTTTTTAATTAAGCCCTGGTGTCAAAATTTGCTCCGCCCTGGGGGTCGTTGATTTTCCTAATATTAATAAAGTAAAAATTTTAAAACTCTTTTTTTATAAAAAAAACACAAAGAGCTAGAGCTTAGATGCATGAAACATCCTCTAGTGTGTGTCTACAAAGTTTGTTCAACTAAAAGCCTTCGGGTCAAAATTCGCCCGCCCTGATGGTCATTGATTTTCCTAAAATGTATAGTAAAACTTAAAAAATCTTCTTTTAAAAAATCCAAACAGCCAGAGCTGAGATATTAAGCATAAAACAGTGTCTACCAAGTTTGTTCAAATAAAGCCCTTGGGTCAAAATTGGCCCTGTCCTAGGGGTCGTTGAATTTCCGTATATAGATATATATATATAACAAAAAACACAGTCCATGAGTTAACTTATTTAATTATTTGCCAACCGGTTTCTCTTAGATGACTGAGATGCCCACCCGTACCTAAAATAATACACGGAAGGGCACTCGAAGTCCTAAAATTAAGTAGAAAAGTTCGCCATACAAACATATCGTACAGTGTCGGTGTGACAAAACAATCAATAAAAATATCTGATCATGCCATTTTGCAAAAAAATGATCAATATTTTCATCACGTATAAATCATCATGGTTATAAAACGTTCATTTGTATTTTTTTTTAATTTCCGATATGACTGATTCTATTATAACTAATGTTTGAATACATGTATATTATTTTTAATTTCCAAAATAGATGATTCTGTCGATGATGTTTGATAGTTATTCCCATAGGAACTCGAGAACGGGACCGCAGATTGCGGCGTATTTTTTCAATCCTGTAACGGTTTTTAAAAACGTTTCTGCTACATCTAAATATCTTTTAGTATTATCCGAGTGTATGGACTCAAAAAATATATTATCAATTGAACCCAATCTGTCTCTTTTAAAACTGGTCAAATTTTACGGTATTATAAAAAAGACAAGGAGTGACATCCGCCATTTGCCGCAACGTTTTCGGCATGAGTTTTTCCCATTTGGCTACAATTGATTACTATTTTTTCAGAATTTTGTTCCCGTTATTTTTGTCAACTATCAGGTATCGTCCGGATATAATGTTAACGGTTTATTGTTTACACGTGTTGACATGTATAGGCAGCATTATAACGGGCGTATTCGTGTATTTATTTGTTAAAATGGAGAAAACAGACACTTTAGTAATATGGTCCAACTGATTTTGCCTAACTGAAAAAAGGAATATTAAAACATGATCCATAGATAAATATTTTAGGCACTCATCTCGTATTAATTACTAGAAAAATTAAAACAAAAATCAAGCATATCAAGGGGGATAACTTACGCCGAACGTTGCGGCAAATGGCGGATGTCACTCCTTTTCTTTTTTCAATATACCGTAAATTTGACTGATTTTTAAATTAGCAGATTATATTAAATTGAGATTAGATAATTAAAGACCACCCGCTCGCATAATATGAAAAGATATTCAAAGGTCGGACAAACTATATGTAAAGCCGGTAAGAATTCGGATTTATGCGCCGCAATATGCGGTCCTGTTCCAGAGTTCCTATGGTTATTCCCCTTCTCTTTAAAAAATAGTTTACTGATCTCACAATAAAAGCCACATGTGTAAGTGTACTATTTCTTAACATTTGTAAACTTTTAAAATATTTTTATATTTTGCCTCAGAACTTCCACTGCTGATATACAGATGTTGATTAATCTCATTCAAACATATTGCATGCGGGAAGTTTAATCCATCTCCTTGTACCAGCATCACCATGGCTTCACTCAGGACTGACGTCATCTTGTACACGATGTGCCGTCTTCTGTTACAGACGTAGACTGATCCAGACGGAGAGATTATAATACCTTGCGGGCGTTCTAACTTACCTTGATACAAGGATAACATATTACCATTTATATCAAGGGATATAACTTTGTTAGTACACCAGTCGGATACATAGATCACACTCTCATCATGACTCACGGCAATATGCAGAGGTAATATACAATGTTTGAGTATCTCATCATCAGGTTTGATCGTCTTGATTATTGCCCCTGTCAGCTGTAGTATCTGAAACTTCACAGGTTTACAAAATGAAACATATAACTGATTGTTGATCATCTTCACATCTACACAGTTACCATTCGTTTTTATTAAACGGTCTAGAGTTAGTTTTTTACGTACTTTCACTAGCTGTATCTGATAACTGTTTCAAAATACAACAGCTATCTGGTCATTTGATATCGTTGTAATCCCAAATAGTTTTGATTGTAATGATAAGACGTCTTTGATTTTACTCTTATTGATATCAACGAGTTTTAAGCATTGATTGCTATAATCAATTAGAACAAGTTGATTGTCAGAGACTAACGTCATGTCTGTAATATAGCAGTCCCTTTCGTCAGTATATGATTTAACGTTGATATTTTGGATGAAAGTATATTCTTCGTTCTTGTTTACTCCGATGGTCATATTTTCTGTTACCTTCATTTTACAAATAGAAGATATAACATCATGATCTAATTCAACGAGTGCATCGTCCTTAACAATCACGTGATGTCTCGTTAATTTATTTCTAGGATGGTCTTTAAAACAACAACTACAAAGACGGTCGAACCAATATTTACAGTAACCAACTGCCTTGGTTTCGTCACCAGCAAATTTACACGGATTGCAGTCATCTTTGCTCATCAAAACGTGATGATTTGATAATCTGTTTCTTGAATGACTACTGCAAAGATATTCATTACAGTCAGTACAAAACCCCTCAGCCTCGGCATGATCTCCGACAGTTGTACAAGGATCACACTCGTAATATTCCTCCGAACTTTTGTAAACTGACGACACCTCTGATTTCTTGTCACTTAATGTTACCTCCTCAGAGCTTAAATAAACAATCGCCGTGGAGTTTTGTATAACCTTCTCTCGTGGTGTTGATAGTCCAATTTCTTCATTTGGTTTTCTTTTTCCACTTACTTGATCCGCCATTTTATTATAACTGATACTGATATAAGGAAACTACTTGTCAATACATTAAAGCCGTCGATTATATATTTTATATTTATGAATTAATAGACATAAAAATAGTTCTGATCGATTTACACATTTATTTACATATTTTCTCTACCTGTGTCAATAATGTCTTGATAGCACTTACAATAGTCCTCTAAACGTAAGCACGTAGCTATAGTAATAAGTACGATAGACCGGTAGGACCATTTCAACTTTATGGATTCTCTATTTCATCTTCATGAATTCACAATTTTAATTTCGTGTATTCCATTAAACATACGGAATTCACGATTTCAGCTTCATGCATTCACGATTTATACATCACGAATTCATGCACGATTTCAACTTCATGAATTCACGATTTCAACTTCATGAATTCACGATTTCAACTTTGTGAATTAACGATTTCAACTTTGTGAATTCACGATTTCAACTTCATGAATTCACGATTTCAACTTCATGAATTCACGATTTCAACTTCACGAATTCACGATTTCAACTTCACGAATTCACGATTTCAACTTCACGAATTCACGATTTCAACTTCACGAATTCACGATTTCAACTTCACGAATTCACGATTTCAACTTCACGAATTCACGATTTCAACTTTGTGAATTAACGATTTCAACTTTGTGAATTCACGATTTCAACCTCATGAATTCACGATTTCAACTTCACGAATTCACGATTTCAACTTCATGAATTCACGATTTCAACTTCATGAATTCACGATTTCAATGAACGTCATGAATTTTACTTGAAATCGTAAATTCGTTGAGTTGAAATCTGGTATACGTATATGAAGATGAAATCGAGAAATAATGAAGTTGAAATGTTCCAATCGGTCTTTCGTAAATAAGTACTTTGGATTACACGTATACTTTTAATTCCCTCTTGTTGAAACTCACTGAGACGTGACGATAATGAACTACACCTAGAAGGTGTACTATGGGAGCAGACATGTTAATATTGGAGTTTAGAGGTAAACAGCTAAGTCGAACACGATAACGTTTACATTAATCGGTCAAACCATTATGATATAATGGGTTGTGCAAGTTATTCGGTTATTACACTTTGCACTTTTACTGCAATAAAAAAGAATTAAATTGGACATAGACACGTTAATCCGAATAGCGTAGTGGTTAGAGTGTTCAGATTATGACATGTATGAAGAGTTCATGTTAAGAAAATTCTTTTTTTCGAGTTCAAATCTTGTGCATTGTGCAATATTTTTTTTAGGTCTATATATATATGGTTTTAACTTTCAGAAAACATTTTCATATTCTCCTTTATTAACCTGTGATTAATTTAATATTTTGTACAATTTTAAAGTTAAACTTATAACGAATGTATTTGATTTTAACAGTCATTAAAAAGATTGAGAAGTATTGTCAATTTAATTCTATTTAAAATATAATGTATTATTGATATAATTACGGGTACTCTGTGCCTTAATTATCTGATCAAAATCGGTTGAATAATAAATAAGTTATGAATAAAAAACATACCTGAATCGGGTGAAAAATCGGCGTGTTCCGTACCTGTCACGTGGTATGGCCACATTGAAATTGTACGTTTGTACGTTTTATCATTGATCAAACAAAGCAAAGTTTAGAAGCAAAAAAGCAAATACTTATTTTATGCCTTTGAGTGGATTACAGATTTATCCATGAAAATTATATTTGAAAGTTTCACAGTGAAAATTTTATTACATATTTTTCTTTGACAAGACTACTTTTTTAAGAGTTTCCCCATGTGACACCTCAATTTTATTTTTGCTGACAATTCTAACATTGTCAAAGCTGTTTACAGAAAAGTAAAGCTGGGATTGATAAATAACTTACATTTCAAAAGTTATAAAAAGAAAAAACTTACTTCAATTCATTCAAATTACCAATCACCAAATATCGTCTCTAAATTTTTTGTTTCATTTTAACAGTCTGAAAAATAGACAACCTTCCGCATGCAAAACTGCTCTTGGTGACATTTGGGCATTTGCAAGTATCCTAAGAGCAATAACTGCCTAATGCAATATGAAAACTTGAAAAGCAATGATAGTCATCAGCCGAAGAATCAGCCTTTCAACTTTCCTTATTAATTCATATATAGCCGCTATAATTATAGAAAGTTTACACATCTGTCAACAATTATTCATTGTCTGTAACAATCCTCAAATAAGTTTTCTTTCTTTTAAAAAGATGTGTGACTGACAAATCCAAATGATATCCCCCTGAATCAAACACAATTATTTTCCTCCCGTCAAATACACAACTTTTAAAAATGGCGGCCGCTTATATTTATAAGGGGGCAGGGGACCAAAAAAAAATGAGCATTTTTTTCCGTGAGGCCGTAAAACACATTACTGAATCTTTTTGATTTTATACACATGTGAAAAACTTATTTCTTGATATTATTCAAGGATATATGACAAACATTGAAAAAAGTAACTATCTGAATACATTGCTCCATATAGTACAATCTGAGAGAAAATTCTATTACCCCCCAGCCATCCAAAATCAAGCTGAAAATACAGGAATATGCCCAATTTTCATGAAATGGAAAAAAAACCACTTAAGAATCCGCCTAATGTCTTTAATTATAGAAATTTTCTATTGTACAATGATCATAAACTTTGAATATGCTAAACATAGTGTTTGTCATACGTTTAGATATTTTGCAAAATGTATTACTCGTTCTGTAGCAGACATCTGAAATTTAAGGTTTTTCAGCCTCCTTTTGAAGAGTCAAAAATGCATACAAAGATACCGGCCGGAGGCTTAGTTTCGCACACAAACATATAAATTCTATAAATTTAGCTCATTTCCTCATACATATTACAAAGAATTACATTGACAAAGAAATATTAACAATTTTCAACACCTTCAAAACACAATATCTGTTTTATTAATAAAATGCACCTGATCCAAAGTACGAATATGTTCTCTGCCTCTTATATTCATTCGCCGTAAGTCGGATGGTGCGACTTGTTCTTCTACTAGAATTGTTTGTTTTTATTATAAAGAACAAGCGATCATTCATGCTTTTGGAATAAAATGAATAATACCATCGCTATTAAACGTTGATTGTCGAACTTATTTTTCAGCTCGAGACTTTTTGTATTTATGAGAAAGACGACTAAAAATGAGGCTACCAGTTGGGAAAAATCAAATATTAAAATTAATATTGAGGAAATTTCATTTAAACTTGTTTTTAAGCATAGAATAAAAAGAAAGTGTGTTTGTTTGTTTGTTGTGTAATATGTTATATCGACTTCATATGACCTAATTTGTAAGTAAAACCAAACTGACAAAACAAACGCGAAGATCGGCACCAAGTATACATACATTGTACCTCAAACACTTTTTGAGATACCTCCAGACAAAAAGTATGAAAAAATAACAAGGGGCAATAACTCAAAAATTATAAAGGGTAGAGTTATCATTCTTGCACACAGCATGCCTCCTCAATAAGATAAATCCACCTATGAGGTTTCATGTTGACATCTCAAAGACTTTTTAAGTTATGCTCCACTCAGGTGAAAAATTAAGTATGAAAAATAAATTATAAAGGGTAGACTTTTCTCTCTTGTGCACTGCACACCTTCTGAGTAAGATCTATCCACCTATGAAATTTCATGTTGATATCTCAAAGGCTTTTGAGTTATGCTCTGGACAAAAATGTGGGACGGAAGGAATGACGGACGGGCCAATCAAATTAACATGAGAAAACTTCATAAAAGAGTACATAAGAATGCTACAGATGTTTGGTGATCATCCATCAATTAGTTCTGTAGTAGAAGATGTCTAAAGGTTTTTCTATTTTTAGCTGTAGAGACCCCTAAAAGGGGCCAATCAAATTAATATGAGCAAACTTGATAACAGACTACCTCAGAATGCTACAGACACAGTTTGGTGATCATCCATTAATTAATTCTGTAGAAATAGATGTTTAAAAGTATTTCTATTTTAAGCTTTAGTGGCCCCTAAAAGGGGCTAATCAATTTAATATGAGCAAACTTGATAAAGGCTACCCAAGAATGCTACAGATAAAGTTTGGTGATCATCCATTAATTAGTTCTGTAGAAGATGTTTAAAGGTTTTTCTATTTTTTTGCTCTGTTGACCCCTAAAAGGGGCCAATTGAAATGACATGAGCAAATTCAAGTGTGACTGTCACAAGTAATTGAAGTATGCTACAGACCAAATTTGAAGTAAATCTGCCCAGCAGTTTCAGAAAAGATGACGATTGTTGACGCATGATGACAGATGCCGGAGCATCCCCCTTTGATACTAATAGCTCACCCTGAACCTTCGGTTCTGATGAGCTTATAAAGAGGCAAGTGGTTTGAAGTCAACAACCATAACCACTCAACAACAGACCCCAAGAACATGGATATGATACTTAGCCCAATTTTTTTTAAGGTGAATTAAAACACAAAGTATCACAAATTGTATTATATAAATCACATTTAATTGCACATTTATTAACAATAACTTATTTATAAGGAATATTATACAATTCAATTGAATGTACATGTAATTGTACTCTGGGAAAAAACTACTCTTACCAGCTATGAAACTGTCACAGTATAAATGATATTTTGTCAGTGAACCAAGTTTTTGTACATATTGCAAAATTAAGAACTTTTTTTTTTATTTTACGGCACACCAACAAAGTATAAGTCATATTGTGCTGAAATAGGAAAGATGATTTTGGCTAATCTCGGGTGTTACAAACTTCAAAGCAACACCAAGGGTTAAAACCACCTCACCTGCTGAAGCTAAGAGATGCATAGACTCCAGTAAATCAAACCCATTTAGTCATGTGTTATAAGCAAGCAGGGATAAAAGGTGGATGCAATTCTTGTGCCTCAAACATAAGAACAGAAGTCACCGTTTATCCCTGTGTGATTGTAAGAGGAAATGAAGGCAAATGAACATTGTACATGTTTGACCTGTAACATGTAGACAATTAAAAAAAATTGTTCCCATGTATCAACAGTCTCCAGAATCTTTTCATTATTAACTTAAACTCAGTGTACTTTTGTCTCTAATATTTTACACATTTATTCCTGTGAAATTCACTTCTTACAACTGCACACTTTTATCGTATAGTTTCACTATGACACTCTTGTTGCAAATATACTCAATGCTCGGATATAGTCATCAAGTTTTGTTTTAAACAGTTCACTTTCGATTGGCTGACTCATGTCGCACACAGGATTTCTTACCACATACTCCACATATATCTGTAAAAAAACAAAACAGTCTGTTACAATACATTAAAAGATCTGATATTTCTAAAGAAAATGAAGCTCATCTCAATATATCTTATTATTATAATTCTGTAAAACATAACATGCCAGAGGTATGGGTCATGGTTAGGGACACGAAAAAGTTAAAAAGAAACAACAAGCATGACAATCAGAATTAATGAATAAAATCTGATCAGTAGATCTTGTAAGAAACCTAATACCCCGGTCACATATTCACGGAATACGCTCACGGAAGAGCCACGGATTAATTCCGGCATCGTCCGTAGCTACCCGTACTGGGGTCAGTATCTCGAAGCTATCGTTAGCATAACGACTGTTGTAAGCCTCTCGTTAAGGTTTTTACTGGTATCTCGAAACTCTCGTAATTAACGAATAATCGTTAAAATGCCCAATTATTAACGGTTGCGTTGAAGGTGTCGTATAACTCTCGTTACTATCACTTTGGCACAAAAGGAAGAATACTTCGAATTTAAAATACACAAAAAAATGAGAATTATATCACCTTATTGATAAAAATGATGAACCTACATAAATATGATATTTTATTTCCTTTTCTCACATATCAAACATATGTAAGAGCTCTTTTAGTTTACATGAAGATGTATATTTAAATGCAGATGAAAAAAAAATCATATAATAACTGAAGCATCGAAAGGAATAAACTCTGAAATGTGTAATTTTGCACAAGACAATATAAATAAATATTTGCATGTACATAATGTTAAAAATGTAACAAAATTCGGTACTTTTTACAGAATTATATTTCGAAAAGTTACCTGTGATGTAATGATTTAATGACATGAAGAAAAATGCATTACGTTACGCTGCAAAAATCAGTACAACAGATAGGCATGAAATATATGGAAATTTTGTTTGTTTAATGTAACAGATTGAAATATTTTGCTCTTGCCAACACCAGCTGTTATATTTTTACTTGCTATATTTAAATTTGTAATACATAATCCTTTCTTAATCCTTTGTTAAAGACAAAATAAAAATTTATCCATAAATTAACAGAAGGTTATATAAAAATCTGGAAACAAAATGATCCCTCGGAAGCATTAATCACAACAAAATTACAAGAGAACTGCTGACTCGGTTTGATTGAGTCTGTACATTAGGGATAATGAATACGTGCAACATCCCTCACGTCCCCTAGCACCGGCTTGAGCGGTACTCAATTCTCAACACTTAATAGTGCTGGCATCAATGACCCGAAGGACCAGAAAAATATAACAACACTGAAGTGAACATAGTGAATATCCACTGAAAATAATATTTTTTAATATTAGACAGGTTGTGTGACCTTATATAAACGGTTGTTTGTAAATATAACCCGAGCCGTCAGGCGAGGTTTATATTGCAAACAACCGTTTATATACGGCCATATAACTTGTCAGGAATATTTATAACGAATTTATAATGCTTCGAAATCGGAAGTTCTTTTTAAGAGTAAAATTAAGATTTCCAGCTCGTGAAAATATATGGAAATTTATTATGTTTCGTGAACATATTCTATATTTCACTCAAACGAAAAACATCTTAATATTTCTTTAAAACTTAACCCATTCTCGCTGTCGTCGTTGTATCATCATCATTATCATAGAAATAATTATTGTCACCGGTATATCACGATCGTTTTTTAACTTACATAAGAAAAAAGAATTCTAGATTAATTATGGTGAGATAAAGCGTTTACATTGTATACTAAGCCGAGTTATGGACTAACTTGAATCTTAATTTATTGTCCTGATATGTGTTTTTAAATGTTTGTTTGTTTGTTTCAATTTACGCCTTTTCCCAACAGTATTTCAGTCATATAGGCGGGTAGTTTCCTAACCATCGTTCCTGGAGAGTTACACCAGTACTAGACTACCTTCCTCCGCGCTAAACTATCAAAGCATCTCCCGGGGATCGAACCCACGCCAGAGAGGTAACTGGATTAGAAGTCATCGACTTTAACCCCACGACCACGGAGGTGTTTTTAAATAAACAGACTGCTAGTATTCAAAATAGACATTATGACGACTGAATGTTCGCTATTTACATTCATTTAGATATTTGCAATTCCAATATTTCATCCATGAAAGCAACATTTTTCAAGTTTGAATCTTGAGAGTATACTTACACCATGAAACATGTTAATTTCTGTAGCGCTGAAAAAAATGAGGGAAAGTATTGAGAAGAAGCTCGGCAAGAATATTTGTTTTGACTTAGTAAAATGTTTAAAATGTCTGATTTCCACTTGCAGCCTTTACTGCACAATCGTCAGTATACAGTCGTTTTCCCTCAGTTACTAGTCTTGCTGTTTCTATTTTAAGTTTTTACCTTTCAATGGTAATCACGTCAGTTCATAGGAATTTTCAACATTTGCAATTTCTTGGTTTACGTTTTCTTACGACCATTCCTTCCTGCTTTTACACACTGTTCGCGGTATTCAAATGTTTACATAATTCAATCGTTAATAACTAACGATTAAGGAACGAACGATTGCTTTACTATCGCTTTCGAGATACCCGCGCTAGTCTCTCGTTAACCAACCTTCCGTCAATCGTTAGTACGTTCGTAAACGCAAATATAACGATAGCTTCGAGATACTAACCCCTGGTCAGTAGCTCTCCGTATTGTAACCGTAATCAATCGTAGTAGTCCTTGTATATCCGTAGCGATCCTTGACAATTTTTGAACATGCACAAAAATTCGCCACGGAAAAATCAACCGTAGCGTGTCCCTGCTAGTCCGTATTAAACCGTACTGATACGTACTGGTCCGTATGAAAACCGTACTAGTCCGTACTGATTCGTAGTCCACCAACTTGTCAAGGATTTCCACGGTTTAGTACGGAGAACTACGTATTTGTACGTTTACCCTACGTATAAGCTACGGTTTTAATACGGATTAATACGACATTGTCACGGAAAGCCACGATCGTAATACGTTGTACTACGGAGAGGCAGGGATTAGCACGGTCTTATACGGTTTATTGCGTTGCAACACGAAACGGTACGGAATTGTACGGTCCACCACTGTTTAGTACGGATGTATTTAGTAACAGCATGTACTTTTTCAAGGGTATAAATACTACCTTCTTGTTAAAAACAGACATATTTGCGGGAACATTCAATAAATGATAATTGCCATTTACTGGCTGCAACTTTATATTGAACTGACTCAGAATGCGGGGGCAGTGGTCGAGCTGCTTGATGACATGCATGTAGGTAAAATATAATAATATCGTACTACACTTCATAAGGAATAGAATAACATTTAATGTTACATATTTTACAAACATTGGATCGTGAACTTGGAGTAAATTTGTACATAAAACGAAGTGTCTCATAAGCCTCGGACGCTGGCCCTTGAGTGATTATAAGATTAATTAACAAGCTTTTTACATATTTTTAAAACATAAACATTCACGATAATTAATGTAATTGTAAAAAGAACAACAAATTTTAAAATTAATAGAGAAGCAGTATTGATCAACAGTTTTCATTAATGCTTACTAGTCCATATCTAATCAGGTAAAATAAGACAGACGAGATGGTGGACTAGAGATGGGCTTTTACAAAGACCACTTCATGTTTAGTATGAGGCTCTCATGGCCGAAGTTGTTGAGGATCCAGCGTCCTTTAATCGGACCTGATGTGTCTCGGAGGTCGGAGGCGGTTAGGCTGAATCCTCTCCGCCAAAATCATTGAAATCTGCAATTCGTTTACTAAGTGTTCTTTTCTTGTGAGGCATTTTGAAAATGAGCATGCAAGAGGTTCTGGACGGATGTATTAGGTCCGTATAGATCCGTGGCAATTCGTTCTTCTCCGCATCAATTCGTCCTTCTCCGTATCAATCCGTACTTATTCGCACTAACCCGTGCTTATACCGTAGCAGACCGTAGTGTATCCGTAGTGCGTCCGTCCTGATTCGTGTCGCTCCGTATCAAACCGTGTCGGTACGTAACAGTCCGTATCTCTCCGGGAGCTTTTGGTGGAAAATCCGTCGGACTCCTTACTCATACCGTTGTGTGTCCGTACTGGAACCGTAGCGGACTACAGAATTCCACATTTCCGTAGTAATCCGTAAACAATTAGACCGTAGCTCTTCCGTGGCATTATCCGTGAATATGTGACCGGGGCATAATCAATATTCACATCTGATAATTGACAGAGTTATATTGAATCATACCATTACACCTTTATAGCGAATATCTGATAATCTGAATCTTATACAATTAAGATAGAGAAAACCTTTAAAAAATTTAACAATACACTTTGACTTGTAGGAAAGAATCATCAGATTTAGTTTTGTTTTATGTTTTACATGTTTTTTTTTGGTGATTTTAACTCATTTTTGACTTGGTGGCTAGTCCACCTAACCTGCTTTCCTGGATAACTAACAAGTAATGACTAATTATCCTGCACAATTTCTGAGGTTAGAAACAAAGCAACTTCTGCAATACAAATGTAATGCTCTTCCTACCATTCGCTCAGTTAACAGACAACCAGATTTAGAACAAGAACGCTCGACTATTCGAAAAGTTGTCACAAGGGTGTTTCATTGAGTATAATAATGCTAACCTATATGAATACATAAAATTGTCCGAAAAGGTTCAAACCCTTCAGTAGTTATAGAGATACCAGTTTACAAGCAAAAATTTACCTAGAATTTCTAAGTCGAATTATGCAAAAAAGCAATCAGAGTTATGGGACTTGTGCCAATCATCTTAGATAATCACAGAGAACAAGTGTGTGAAGTTTCAATCCATTCCCTTCAGTAGTTATGGAGATACCCGAGTGAGCTTACACGCAAAAACTTAACCAAGAATTTCTTAGTCAAAAAAGGGGCTTAATTATGCAAACAAGAGGGCCATGTTGGCCCTGAGGTCGCTCACCTGTATATAGCCCCCCCCCCCCCCGGGCCAATTTTTACCCAAGGGCTTTTATTTGTTTATTTAAACAGACTTGGTAGACACCCATAAGAAGATGTTTCATGCTAAACATCTAAGTTCTAGCTCATTGGGTTTTTTAAAAGAAGATTTTTAAAGTTTTTACTATACACATATAGTTAAAAACAATGACACCCCTGGGGCAGGGCCAGTTTTGACCCCCGGGCTTTTATTTGAACAAACTTTGTAGATATTTACTTAAAGATGTTTCATGCTTAATATCTAATCTCTAGCTATTTGGGTTTTTTCAAAGAAGATTTTTAAGTTTTTGCTATACACATATAAGGAAAATCAATGACCCCTCCCCCCCCCCCTGGGCGGGGCCAGTTTTGACCCCAGGGCTTTTATTTGAACATACTTAATAGACACCCATTAGAACATGTTTCATGCTAAATATCTTAGCTCTAGCTCTTTGAGTTCTTTAAAAGAAGATTTTTTAAGATTTTACTATATGCATATAGGGAGAATCAATGACCCCCTGGGGCGGGGCCAATTTTGACCCCAGGGCTTTTATTTGAACAAACTTGGTAGACACTCACTAGAAGATGTTTCATGCCAAATATCTAAGCTCTAGCTCTTTGGGTTCTTTAAAAGAAGATTTTTTAAGTTTTTACTATATGCATATAGGGAAAATCAATGACCCCCCGGGGTGGGCCCAATTTTGACCACAGGGCTTTAATTTGAACAAACTTGGTAGACACTCACTAGAAGATGTTTCATGCTTAATATCTTAGCTCTAGCTCTTTGGGTTCTTTAAAAGAAGATTTTTTAAGTTTTTACTATATGCATATAGGGAAAATCAATGACCCCCTTGGGCGGGGCCAATTTTGACCACAGGGCTTTTATTTGAACAAACTTGGTAGACATTCACTAGAAGATGTTTCATGCTTAATATCTAAGCTCTAGCTCTTACGGTTCTTTAAAAGAAGATTTTTTAAGTTTTTACTATATGCATATAGGGAAAATCAATGACCCCCTGGGGCTGGGCCAATTTTGACCCCAGGGCTTTTATTTGAACAAACTTGGTAGACACTCACTAGAAGATGTTTCATGCCAAATATCTAAGCTCTAGCTCTTAGGGTTGTTTAAAAGAAGATATTTAAAGATTTTTCTTGGTTGCCATGGCAACCAGAGTTCTGCATGGAATTAAATTCTTTGAACAATTTTTAAAGGTGACCACCAAAGGAACATTCCTGTGACGTTTGGATGAAATTGGCTCAGTGGTTTATGAGGAGATGTCATTTAAAGCAAAAGTTTACGGACGGACGACGGACGGACGGACGGACGCAGGACAAAAAGCAACACAAAAGCTCACCCTGTCACTTTGTGACAGGTGAGCTAAAAAGCAAACCAGAGTTATAGGACTTGTGCCAATCATTTTCGATAATCACAGAGAACAAGTATGTGAAGTTTCAATCCATTCCCTTCAGTAGTTATGGAGATACCAGCTTACAAGCAAAAACTTAACCAAGAATTTCTAAGTCGAAAAAGGGGCATAATTACATTGTATGTAAACAAGAGCTGTCACAGGAGACAGCGAAGCTCGACTTATAAAATACTGGATGCTGTAAGGAGGACAAAACTATGAAAGAAAAATCAATTATGCATAATTATGTATTAAGTTATAGTAAAAAAATAACATAAATTTTGTTAACATAAATTCCAAATCAAGGGGAATAATTCTAGAAATAGTCACGCTAGAGTTATGAACCTTGTCACACAACATGTGTGTAATGATAAGAAATATATATTTGAAGTTTGAAGTAGATACCTTAAAAAGTAAAGAAGTTATAATATTTCTTAAAGAAAATCCTAAGTTCAAAGAGAGATAAATCTGTAAATATTGCTTCAAGAGTTATGAACATTGTCACATAAAATGTAATTGATGATAAGGAATAAGTATTTGAAGTTTGAGGTAGATACCTTTAAAACTATAAAAGTTAAAGTAAAAAATATCATTTTTCTAGTAAAAAAATCTAAGTTTATGGGGAGTTAATTCTTGCAATATTGGTGCTAGAGTTATGAACCTTGTCACTTAAGATGTGGATGATGATAAGGTACATATATTTGAAGTTTGAAGTTGATCGCTTTAGAAATAAATAAGTAACAGTAAAAAATAATATTATTTAAGGAAAATTCTAAGTTCAAGGGGAGATCAATCTTGCAATATTGGTGCTAGAGTTATGAACCTTGTCACATGAGATGGGGATGATGATAAGGTACATATATTTGAAGTATGAGGTTGATCCCTCATGAAATAAAAAAGTAACAGTAAAAAATAGTATCTTTTGAGGAAAATTCTAAGTTCAAGGGGGGGATGAATCTAAAAATATTGGTGCTAGAGTTATGAACCTTGTCACATAAGATGGGGATGATGATAAGGTACATATATTTGAAGTATGAGGTTGATCCCTCATGAAATAAAGAAGTAACAGTAATAAAAAGTATTTTTTAAGGAAAATTCTAAGTTCAAGGGAAATAAATCGAAAAATATTGGTGCTAGAGTTATGAACCTTGTCACATCAGATGTGGTTGATGACAAGGAACATATATTTGAAGTTTGAAGTTGATACCTTAAGAAATGACAAAGTTATAGTGAAAAATATTTTACTGCACCAAAACTTTAATCTGAAATCTGGACGCGGACGCTGGGGCGAGTAGGATAGCTATCCATATACTTTGTATAGTCGAGCTTAAAAGCAAATCAGAGTTATGGGACTTGTGCCAATCATCTTAGATAATCACAGAAAACAAGTGTGTGAAGTTTCAATCCATTCCCTTCAGCAGTTATGGAGATACCAGCTTACCCGCAAAAACTTAACCACAGGGATGCTGACGCTGACAAATAGGTGACGGCATTAGCTCGATTATTCTGCGAATAGTCAAGCTAAAAATCATCATAGCCCATAACAACAATATCTTGCAATTTTATGTTTCTTCTTTTTTAACATTATAGATTTTTAGTAAGAAGGGACAGGAAATATTTTTTTCTGTAATTCTGAACCATTTGACGGTGGTCTAGATTAAAAACATGTCAAAAATATCAGATCATAAATTTTGCTCACTCACTCTATCCAGAATAATTAATTTTACTGTGTATCATTGTATGACATCCAAAATTGTAAAGCCTAATATTCAATTTAACATTCTAACATACTTCACACTATCCCCTTATCAAACAGATAGGGTAGTCAAGTGCATTATTACAAGCTATAGGCACAGCTTAAAAAAGGAATACTAACACATCATATGATGCCAGATAGGATGTCATTAACCAAATGACATCAGGAAAATTACTCCTACACTCAATGTAGTTCAACATATTTTTATCAATTCTCTTTTTTATTGGCATGTTAGAATGGAAATATTAATATTTCATGCATTATAGTAAAATTATGCACAGTGTTTTGTTCAAATGCTTTGTAATTAATCATGAACAGAAGGCCTATATTCCTACACATGTGAACTTGATCAGAATTGATATTTATTTGATTTTCCTTTTCATTTACTCAATCTGGCTAAGAATTACTGTCAGATAGGAAAACACTTGTCAACTTATTTTCTGTTCACGTAAACATAAAATATATGTATCAACATTGGCAAACTTGACTAAATTTCTTCTATTAGTTACATATACTGGTGAGGAGAATAAAGATTAATATGACCAGAGGCACTAGCATGGACCTTTCCAGCGTTTACAGTTTTATATAAATTGCCCAATTGCTACACTGAGATAATATATAGTCACTGGTTGATCTGGTTTGCACAAAAGAACACATGGTTATGTTTGTGATACTGTTTGTGAGCAGTTGACCTAGCAATTAATTGAAAAGGTGTGGCTAAATGTTGCGCTAGGTCCATTGATATGCTTTAGTTCTTCAAAGTATATAACACATCGTAAACAAAGTATTTAAGCCGGGATTATTATAAAAATACATTTATCAATGACAATCAATATTGTATGACAGCAGGTGGTACTAGTTATCTTTCATATCAGTTTACACTTACATTTTTATAAATGTCATGTAGAATGTCCTTAATACTCCCAACAGAAAGATCTGTGTTAATGACAAATTTTAAACCACTAGGTGTTTCATACAGATGAAGCTTGTATTTACTGGTCTTGAAGTTCTGGAAACCATCCCTACTGATACTTCATTAAGGATAAACAATGGTTATGGTAAATGAATGTTTAAAATTTGTGAAAGTTGATGATGATCTGTGTAAAGAACTTATAGCCATAATAGAATAAGTACATGTAACATATGCAATACATTACATGATTCATGCAAATGTTTAAATCAATAGTTACGTAAATATGCATGTACATCATAGTATGATAGAATATTACGCCAATATTAGCGTCATGTTAGTGTGACACACCATTTTATATGTTGTTACGTTTGGCGTCATTAATGTTTTGACTTCTTGTTAATCAGAAATTAAACAATGTTACTGAAGAAACAGTGCAATCTTTTGATTATTTAGTGTTTACACAACACTAGTGTGGTAACTTAATCTGTCAACATCCTTTAAAGTTAACAAACCACCAAGTGTAGAATACAAGTTTTAAGATAAAGGATACACATCTGTTGGGCTTATCCTGCTGACAAATGACTTCACAGAAAACAACATTCCATACATCAGCTTAAACTCCTGAAAGTATAATCATCGATATGTGTATATTAACTATATGTAGCCTAAAACTACTGGTACCAAAAGTAATAGACGGGTTTGATTTTCAGAAAAGACCCTCCTCCGTTAAGAGTCTAACGGCATTTTTTAGTACAAGCAGGTAGTCAATCGTTTTTACATAATTCAGGTACGCTGAATCCATTTTTTGCTCTACCACGGCTGTACTTGAAGTCCTTGACCTTCTAAAGGTCAAATCAAAATGGCCGCCATTGTCCTTTACCATCTACATAAAAAAATATTATTTCTGGTACATATCGTATCCTATGTCCGTTAATCTACATGGAATAAAGTTTCAATTACTTATAGGAATAATTGGCTGATAATTATACATGCTTTACACATTGACTGCTGTGCCGGCCATCTTTGATTTCAAAATGGACACCTTTTTTAACAAATATAAGTAAAGTGCTTTTAAAAAAATGGATCCTTCTGTAGGAATGAGTACCAAAAATTGTAAAATGATATAAGCAACATGTCATGTCGAATTGTACACACTGTGTAGGTATACTGCACACTTTAAATTACATCATTACTTCAAACTATCACAGGTCATTCCTTTTGGACAATTAATCTATATCACGTATCTGAGATCCCAAATGTCTTACATAAAACCTGCAAATTTTAATTTACCATTAGATGTTTCAGTTTTTTTTATTTTGATAGAATAGCAATGTGTAAACCTTTATGGACACTAGGTCATTTTATAATTTGAATGCCAAGAGTCAAGGTCAGTATGTAAATATTTTAAATATTGCCTGTCATCTTCACAGGTCAGCGACTATGTCTCTGGGCCCGCATGTCTTTGCAACAATATCTATTGTACGGATCGATTTAAAATAGAAAAAAACAACAACAACAGAATCCCTAAAAACGATCAAAACGGCAAAATTGAAATGTTGTAGACTCGATTTGATTGAGCCTGTACATGGACGTTACTTGAAATTGAAAGGTACCGTCCAAACACCCCAGCCCCGGCTAAAATTTATATATCAAAGGGGGAATTACGAAATTTGGAATTTAGAAATATCCGCAGATGTGTTTATACGATATTTTTTATTGTTGTATTGATATAGCTACTTTATAAAGGGTCGTATTTATCAATCAAACTTTAAATATGCCTAGACATGGTTAAAAACAGATCATCTATTTATTAATTGAAATAAACTCAAATAAATGGTAAAGTCATTTTAATCTTTATTATCTTTCACTTTGAAAAAAAGTATCGCAAACATGAACCATAAATAGTCTACGAGCTTGCACTGTCTTACGGTTAATGAATAATATAGAGTTAAACATTATAGGTCTACCGCGGGTATTTGATGATGGTACATGCATAGAAGATTAGACAGATAATTGATACCAATTCTGCAATTAATATATTGAGGATCACTGCTGTTTACCCTTTTTTATTAACACAGAATGATTTGATAGAGCATTTTGTTTTTTTTGCTACTAAATCATATAACATATGCCATCAAAGCCTATGTCTTTAAATTTTATTAACTTAACTGATAATTCGAGATTTTTTGCGTTTTGTCTTTATTCATTGATATGTATTCATTGTCAAGACTTAGTTAATATCAACGTCTTCATTATAATTATGTCACTTTGCCAAGGACACTGCGCCTTATTCTATCTCATGTTTTAAAATTATTCAAGTGACTAAGATATATTCAAATCTTCATACTTATTATGTTCTTGTATTGGCTATCTTTCAAGAAATTGATGAGTATCTTATTCCATTATGATATAACATATTTTGATGTCATTTGCCACAATATAATTATTTAATCTCATATTTTTTCTACTATCACTCCATAATATTACTTTGGTATTTCATAGTGTAATTTTAGTCACTAAAATGTGTACCAACTAATTTTGCACTATCCTGACAATTATGTAAAACAAAGATAAACAAGGGTGTGCCACTTTCCTTGTTAATCTTGTTTTCCATTTTTTACATTGAAGGCATGGTTACTGTAATCTTACAAGTTTTACAAACATTAGAAACATTAAGAAGCATTTATTTATATCTTCAGTAAACCTTATTATTTTAAAAAGCATCCATGATTAAATGACAAAGATATAGTCACAACAATCAATGTTCTAAATTGAATTGACCTATCTAGCTAGCAACCTAGCGTTTAAGCATTACAAGTAGTCCTAATGTGCCACAAATGTATGCCCAGTTATGCCAGTATCCATCTAATAAATGACAGAATTCATGACCGGACATGACCTTCAAAATATGACCTTTAATATCTGAAATCTTACTTTATGCGACAATTCTTTTCTCACTCTAGACAAATTGTTTCAAAGTACCACGTATCTATTCTTAGCTCTCGCTGAATAACACATATATGGACTGGACATGGCCACAAATGCACTCTCATACCATGACTTTTGAAATACTAGTGTGACCTTGAAACATTTGTCCGCTACATGTTGTCCTACAGAGAGGCACCATATTTATCCCAAATGATTTTTAATTCATCCATGAATGACAAAATCGTTTACCAGACTTTTTAGACACTTAAAGGAAATATTTTGTTCGAAGTGAAAGTATGGTTTTGATCTTTGATTTACATCATCAGATGGGTTTACATGTGACCCATTGTCCATTGTGCCATATTTTTATGCAGAATCATTATTTCAAAAGGCATCAATTAATGAGAAAGTTATAGATCGGACACAGCCACCTTGTTACGTTTATATAATGATTTATGATATAGAAGTTTAACTGTAGACATAACCTGCTTGTGCATGAAACGACCTTTTCAAATTACACATTTACGCAGTTATTGTCATTTCAGGACGGTGGCATATACAATTAACAAGATTTAAATATTTTTACCCATACACCGCCTGCTCTAGGTCAATAAAAACAGATAATTTAATACCAAATGATAACAAAATAGACGACAAAAGTCCTAACACAGGGGTCTCAACCACCATGTTATTGTCGGGTTACCTATATAAGCAAATGAAATACTATCCTCATGTACGAAGCTCGGCACTAGTATGTAGGGGCTTCCCTGGGATAAACACCATATGGAATATTTCTCTTACAAGAAGAAACATTAACTCTATTATTCAGGAAAGTAGTCTATTTCATGAAAAAAATATATTTTTCGAATGCCAGCCTGGATGGCGATTCCTATATTATTTTGGAAATACAAAGACTTTTTTAAATATCATGTCGTGCATGAAAAATTGTTGATCGGGTTCCCCACTAATGAACTTTTACCAACTTGTCTTTCTTGATAGACATGACCCTGATCTTTGGACTGTTGAATTGGCTCTCAATCACTACACGTCCCAGTACATGTTCTTTCGCAATTGACATTGACATAAGAAATAACCAAACAATTTTCATGGTATCCCTGTTTGAAGGTTAAGTAATAATATAAAGTATATCATTTACCAATCCGTTATAGGCCGTATATTTACGCTCAACTTTTTTCAAAATCCATCTCTTAATGACAGAATACTAAAATGTACATCTTTTTTCAAGCACTTTCAAGTCTAACTTGAGGAGTTGAGCTTCAAACCTGGGTCTTTCTTATGACATTGTATCAATGTGCCATTAAATTAATGCAATTATTTCAAAATATATCTAAAAATGACAGATATGGACGAGATTAAAAACGGACAGACATGGACAAGCTCTTACTGAGAGATTTGTTATCTTCATGTTTGTTTCTTTCTCCAAAAGCAACCTTTTGCCTTCCATAACCAATAATTCATCCTATAGGTTGGGGGTATACGGAATTAATCTAAACGCCTAATTGTGATCACAAATACCCCTAACTGACACAAGAGGACGCTCGGACAGATAGACAGACGAACAGACATTTGAGCAGGTCTCTCCCCCCCCTCAGGGCGATACAAATCCTATATAAAAAACATCGCACTAATTCAAAGAACATGCATTGTATTCTTAAAATTATAAAAATAACATCTCAATGACAAAGTGACGGCAAATATGACTCTCATTTACGTTGTATTAGGGTATAAATTGTGACCTTTTTGCACCAAAAAGTTTGTTGTTTTAATGGATGTTTTTCAAAATCTGCGCTTGGAAATCTTAATTAGTATCACTGCACTTCTAATAAAAGAAAACATGCCTGGTAAAATGTCTTCTTGTGCTTGTTTACTTTAATTATAATACAGTGTATAAAACATAGGAAATTGTCAGCCATTTTGAAATCCATGATGGCTACGGCAATAAATTTTATTGTTTTTGTATCTATTCTTCTCGTCCGCACTTCAGCAGACTAAAATTAACAAAGCCTTAAATTAAAATGCCAAATATTATACATATATCTCGCCCATGGGAAAATTAAAGTAAAATTAAAAAATTCAATGGCGGCCATTTTGAAATTGATTTTTAAAGGTCAAGGACTAAAAATACAGCCGTGGTAGAGCAAAAATTGAATTCAGCGTCCTCGAAATAAGTAAATAAGCCCAACTACCTGCTTGTACTAGAAAATGCCGTTAGGATGCACATTTTCCCAAAATCAAACCAGTCTATAACTAATTTTTGTTCAATACAAGTAAACAACCAGGTTGGTCTGCATATCCATGCTGTCTGAGCAGGCTCTATTTATAAAACAAGAGCTGTCAATAGGACCACATGCTCAACTGTAATTCTAAGTGCTTGATAGTAAAATTCAAGAGCCTAAATAATTTAAATGTAGACTATTCTAAGTTGAAAAAGGGCTATAATTCTGTCAATATTCATGTAAGACTCAGTTATAGGCCTTGGGCAGTAAAATCCTACTATTCTATTGAATACATGTAAGTGTTTTGGAGATACCAACTTGCACACAACAAACTTAACAATGTGTGGCACCAACATAGATACCTGGGTAAGTACAATAGCCATGATCCCTATTTTTCCAATAGTCAAGCTATAAAAGGAATGTCATTTTTTAAAAAATCTTTGAAGACTTACTATA